TCTGGCATGGGCTCCACCGCCCCCGGGTCTAGCAAATCCCACCCGGTGGGAGGAAGGATCATCCAAGCCCGGGCCAATTCTAACATCTCGCCTTCAGCCTTTGAGGTGTCCCACTCCACCATCTCAATACCACCATGAACGGGCACAAGAGAGCTCAGTGGCGTCAAGGAAGGGGGTGATGGGGAGGCTAGAACATAAGGTATGGCTGCTTCCCTCCCCATTCTGCCCTTTCTATATCCGAGCGTGCAGAAGTGAACCTGAGCTGACCAAACGCGCCGCCCACTCCGCGCACGCCTCCTCGTGGGACTTGAGGGGATCCGACTCCCCTCGGGCCCACTGGCCACCATCAACAGCCTAGATCCACGCGCATCAAGTGTTGTGGCTCCTCCACAAGATCTACTCCACATGGCCTGACGTCCCATCTCCCAGACGAAGTGGGACAGCACGGGGGTGCATGCCATAACTCCTTCACTAGGCACGGCGACCCAGGCGCCTTCGAACCGCCTGCTCAAGGCATCAGCAAAAGGGACGTGCCTAGAAGCCTCCATGCCTACTGACAAGGAGGCCCCACGATGGCCTTGGGGGCTGCGTCGGCTCCCCAGATGGAGCAACCTGACCCTCCAATCGACGGACGCTCGGGCGGCATGCCCTAAAAACCAACCAACTCTAACGAAGTTGGGCCGAGAGCCGCTGAGCGGTGGACCCAACGAGGTCCCTTGCTCGAAGCTTGGTGCGCTCCACACGACCTGGCCTATGGTTGCAGAAGGTCAGCCCTAGAAGGCCTGCCCGAGAGGGTCGGGGCCTGCTACCAAAGCCCCTAGAAGGGCCTGTCGCACCGGATGATTAGGTGGCCCCAAGCCAGAGCCTAGACGCTCTCGATCACCTAACCCACGGCAGGCTCCGACCACAAGGAGGGGTGCCCTCGGGCCTAGAGTTGGTAACTCCCAGACGACTTCACCAAACCCTCGCTTGGGCCACAGACCTACGCGACATAGGACCAAAAGGGGTCAGCACCTCTACCGCTCGGCCTTGATAGCCAAACGCCTAGTCACACCAGGGGAAGGGCCCCACACAGGGCATCACACTCTCGTCAGCAAAAGCTGACCCCACTATGGCTAGCTCGGTCACTGGAAGATCGAATTTAGCCCTTTGTCGCCATCACGAACCAGGCTAAGTGGGGCCACAAAGGGCTCGGGAGCTCCTAACGAGATCCTAACCTATGGGTATGTTAAGCATTGGGATCAATGGTTCCTGACTGAAGAGACCTGACTGAGCCTAGGCACGACATAGCCCCCGCTCAGGGCTCAGGAGCTTGCCCGAGCCTTGGGCTCCCGATCGATGATGCGCTCATGCTCGGCCCTTGGCTCCTGCCCAGCTTACGACGCCAGCCAAAGGCCGGGTGCAAGAAGATAAGCCTTGAGCCATCGAGGCTCGAGGACTCCCAGGCGCTGCACTCTGGGTGCAGCCTTGCCGGCCGCTCCCACGACAGGGTCACGCATGGGCGTGACATAAGAAGACAAGTCCCCTCGGCATCCAGTGGCTTGGCAGCTCCCACGCCCGCACGTTAGCCCCTGGAGCCGACCTCCTTCGCCACCAAGAAGACTCCAAAAGGTCCACCTAGGGGACGCCGGTCCAAGCCGACACAACCTGACACGTAGAGTGTTAGAACATAGCAGCCGGACAATGCCCAAGGCTTCTTCGGTCCACGACACCGCCATGGTCCACAGAGCACCGCAACAAGACCCTCCTGGACTCCGGCGCATGTAGATCATAGACACTTCTCCCCAAACCGCTATGTACCCGACCTATCTCGATATATAAGGGATAAGGTCGGACCTTAGGGGGGAGGATTCGAGAGACAGATCATTCTATTCCTCATTCGATCTGCTCCTACTCAGCACCGAGGGCAGGGGCAACCTAGAGAGGGGCATTGAGAGCTCCTCCTCCGCATCTATCATCTTTCTCCTCTCCGACGAGGGGAAGGCTCCACCGGCGGTGAGGCAACCTTATGATTGCTAACCCCTACCAAATCTCTCTATACTCTGTTGTAAGCCCCCGATTTTTTGTGCTCTTGAGTATAAAGATCATCAGTTGCTGGACGTAGGGCACGATCGGCCCAAACCAAGATAAACCGTTGCGTCCCCTCTGTGATTCTTGTGTTTCTGAGTCCACCCGAGCCACCAGAGACACGTACTCTGACACCGTCTCGAACAACAATGTTTGACGTGGTTCCGACCCCGCGACAGATGGACTACGTGGTCGGTGGACGGACTCCAACCAAATCGAAATCGAAACAGGCGGAGGGAGGGTACCCAAAAATAATGAAATATCAGCGCGAAATGGGCAAAAACTAAAGTTGGACCGAATTAAACGCAACAAAATAACAGGAGGGATGGGGGTCGGCAGACGGACTCGGTCCGACTGGTCGGCAGGGATGCAGCTGATGGAGAGCTATCGGGCCGCCATATGGGCCGGGACACATCATGCTGCATCGCGTAGGTGGACATGCCTGTCGTGGGGGACCGTTGGGCTGCCATTGCTTGCCGTCCCTGTACTGCTGTCTAAGCATAAAGATAATAGATAAACAATCTCCCAATTGACCTGCTGCCATGTCGTCGACTGTGAAGTAGTGCCGGTGCCGGCTTACTCGACGTATGTACGCCATGCAGTGAAGATGGTGCCGGATATTTGCCGGCTGTCAAATCGCAGGGCTTCTACAACGTTCCCGTCAGGTAGGCTGTCTCGCTCTCACCGGCCCGGCCGCCGTACGTAGCTGGATACGGTATCACGTATGATACTCCACATGTGTACATACGTACATGTTGGCTTGCCGTTTCATCAGTCAAAGCAACGTGGCGTACGTGCATGTACACCAGCAAAGGAGATAGTAAACATATGCATGGTGCTCTGTTAAATGTTTGGCCACGACGACTTTGTTTATACATGCATGCATGTGCACAGAAATGCCTTTGGTCCAAAAATAATCATGGACCGTATATATATTTGAGCTAATCATATCACATTGCTTGTCATCAACTACTGCAGTACCAATTTTCTCAGGCGGCCATTTCACATGTTCGGAGGCGGACATGCTGTCCGCTTACGTCAAGGTCTGCGTTCCTAGGCGGCCAAAACAGCCCGCCTCCGTAAATAGCTACTTCCGAGACGGTCGCATTAATTATAACACCCACCTCTGTAAATAGCTACTTTCTCGGCCCTGTGGAGAACCTGTGGATCCTGGTCCGTCATATAGGTTATTCACCCTTAGGGATAGGGATAAAAACGGATTGGATACGGACGGATATCACTGATATTATATTTATTTTCATAGTTCTGTCCGGATTCAGATTCGAATACGGATAGTGTCAACCATGATGGATAGGATACAACTGGATATCGACATCATAAATATGCAATTTGAATATTCAGATACGGATACGGTATCGGATGTTGAAAATCCGGACTCAGATCTGAGATAGATCTGAACCCTCTAAACGGATTCGGTCTTGAATACGGTCGGAAAATATCCATACCGTTTTCACCCCTACTTAGAGGCGAAGCTGACCCCTAAGAAGGTCCAGTCACAGTTGTAAGACCACCTAGGACGCTCATCAGAAACGTGTCGTTTGTATGATTAAACTCTTCTTCTTAATTATAATGATACATAAATCTTTTGCGTATTCGAGAAAAAAATCATTAATTAAACGATATGTCACCATTTTTTATGATATGGCATCGTACTAGAGATGAAATTGGAGGAATGGTTTCATCGTGACTGAAACCAGGAGCACACCGTTTCCAACAATTGGAAACCGTGTGAAGCAAGGATTGGGGGCATTAAATTTCATTTCATCCAACAATCAGCCAAACATCGCGTATTAAATGCTATGAGTAGCTTATGAAATAAGTGCTTGTTTAGTTCCAAAAACTTTCCAAAAAAGTGTTGTAGTAACCATCACATCGAATCTTGCGATACGTGCATGGAGCATTAAATGTAGACGAAAAAAAACTAATTGCACAGTTTGGTTGGAAATTACGAGACGAACGTTTTGAGTCTAATTAGTCTATGATTGAACACTAATTGCCAAATAAAAACGAAAGTGCTACAGTAGCCAAATTTCCAAAAATCACGAACTAAACACGCTCTAACAAAATGAAACAAGCATTGGATGGTGGATGTTTCATTCACCATTTCAAAGCACTATAGATGACATGGCAACCAAGGTAACATCAAAATGAAATACACCATTGGGATTGGGATTGGCAATACCTTGCTCCCTACTCGTGTAATACAACTTTATCTTTTTTTTCCTCTTTCTTTCTGTAACTCCACCTGGGCAATGAATGTAACTCCACCATGACCCTATTGTAACACCCCAGCTTGTTTGTATCTGCAACAGTTGTGGTTGTTGGCCCAAGGTTCTGGTGTGGTTGTGTTGTTGCCTGGTGGGTGGTTTAGTACTACCTTACGAATGTAGGTAGGTGAGAATTATTAGTTCATAAACCTTGTTGCGGTGTCAAATATTGTGTCTCTAGCTTAACCTTTTTACATGAGTGAGAAAGAAAGAGATGTGCTATAAGTTCATGGGCTCGCTCCAATGGAAGGGATAGGCTACGTGGATATTGTTTATAGGTTGTAAGACTTGTTGTACGTCTTGGACCGATAGCTTTAGCCGTGGCAAGATTTCTGAAGACTGTATGGGCAGTTGGGCACCCTGCAAATACCTTGCACTGTACAACCAGTTATCATATTATTTTGCAATCTTGAAGACCAAAGAGTCCTTTCTTCTGCAGTTCTGAAGAACAAAGAATATAGTGTGCCGGCCGTTATTCTTGCTGTTCTTAAATTTTAACTTGTGTACAGTATGTTTCACAAAAAAAAAACTTGTGTACAATATACATGCATTGGGAAGAGATAAATACTTGAATGTGCTAAGTATTGCACATAATTTAATGTTGAGTTATTTCCCGTTATGTATGCCAATAAAAATAAATGATAACTATACCACGGTTCCATTTTTTGGCATGGGTTCTCCCTTCAAGAACTGTTGGAACAATATGAGTGCTTGCTGCGGGCGGTGGAGGGGAACCTCGTGCCCTGCGCCACGGACGGTCACCAAGGTCAGGCCCTCGTACACTTGGCTCCATCCACCAACCTAATTAAATTCAAAATCACAAATGATTATTAGCACAGACTAACAGCTGTCGACTTGTAGGATGTGTCATGTGTGAATACTAGAGTAATTTGCATATTGATGTGAAATGTGACTAGAAATTAACTAGAATTCAGAGATGTATGTCCATCGATCATGAGGTTCATATGAGGAAGGCTGGGTGAGTAGAATGAATGAACGAAGCTGACCTGTTTCTTATCATACCACGGATACCAGCTAGTGGTAGTTGGGAGGCCAAGAGCATCAATGGAGTATCTTGTTGATGTTAAGGGGATTACGGCGTCTGTGTCTCCACTGCGAAATAAACAAGAGATCAATCATTCTATAATTGAAGATGACTTTGAAAATTCAGTACCCCTACAGTTGTTGTGGCAAATAATGCAGGATTCCCTGTCACGTCTTTGTGTGACTTCCTGGTCCAAAATCCTAAATAGTTGTGCGTGTGTGGTCTATTCCTTCAGTAGAGGTTATCCATGTCCAAGCAAAGAAAATTGTGTTGAGTAGTAGTTGAATTCAAATGCAGTTGTGTTTCATTTTCGAACTTATTGTTGTTGCAGTTATTATTCTTGATGACAGGACAACCGTGACTTTCAATCAATTTTCTAAATAGTTGGCGAAATTTTGGCACACGTGATGAAAACAAGTTGGCAAACGCCACAATTGCGACAAAATTGAACGACTATTTGGGGCCTTCTGCTATTCATGAAAACGACGGGTTCACAGTGGAATATTATGCAGCTGACGCAATGCACAACCTATACCTACTTCTTCAGTCAATCATTCCGTCCGATCCGATCATTGCAGCAAAGTGTGACACGATATCTGTAACGACCTTCTAGTTCTATGCATGCAGTCAAATACACTGGGCTCCAATGCAATAATTTGATAGAAAAAATTTTCAATTCGGATAGGAATAGAGAAAACAACGTGTATTCTAAATTTCTACTGGAAATGGATTTGCCTATCAAACAGCCTCCAATCCTCCCCATCCATAAGAGCAAATAAACAACAGCTGTCTAGCAGGCAAATATATATAATCGGTAGCTCTCCTGCTGCCCATTTGTTTCAAAAAAGGAAAGAAACTAAAACGCTGCGAATAACGAACTGACCTGAAGACCCATATCCTTAGGCCAGCTGCGATAAGCTCTTTGTAGATAGGAAGCATGGACCTTGGCGAATCTCCCCAGTTGGTGTTGATTAAATCACTGAAGTTCATGGAGCAGGATTCAAAATAAAGCTGCAGGATTCAAAATGAAGCTGAAACACTTTGCCACACATGCACGCCACGCACGAACCTGCAGGTCGCCCATGGATAGTTTATTCCGGTGAGGTTGGCGTGGAGAGCCCTCTGCACCTCCGGCCGGTTGTAGTAAACCGTGGAGTGGCTTTCGGTGCACGGGTCATACGATCCCCCCATCAAGTGGTAGTAGTGGCGGCGGCCTATCAACGACGACGGCCTCCATGATCTCTTGGTCGACGACGTCTGGCCGCACAGGGGCGTGTAGATGCTGTACATGTCGATGTTGCCCTGCTCCGCCGTGGCCACGTCCGTCGACGCGTTGCACGCCGGCGACGGGTGGATGAGGGACTCGTTGAGACCACCGCAGGAGGTCCTGAGCAGCCCGTACGTGGCGTCGGAGATCAGCCCGTGGTTCCACCACGACTCGAACATGCCGGCGTAGTCCGTGTGGTCGTTGATCACCGCGTTGCCGACCATGAAGCCTTTGAAGTTTATGATGGGTCTCGCGACGCCTGCGTTGTTCCGGTAGACCAGCTGCGACAGCTGCGGGACGTAGTGCCCTGCGTGCGTGCCGATTGTACTCAGTTTTTTTTATATATTTATTTATTATCATGTCATCAGTTCCTATTGCAGTAGAAAAATAAAGCACGTGTTTATTATAGTAAGTATTACTTAACCTCCGTAGCTCTCTCCGGCAATGTAGAAATCGCGGTACTTGTACTGCGGGAACCTCTCGAACCATTTCACCAGGAAAGTGTAGGAATCGTGGGCTGTTTTGTTGTCGCCGTTGGTGTAAAGCTCGGAGCTGGTGTTGGTGTAGGAGAATCCCACGCCGGCCGGCGAGTCCAGGAACAAGATGTTCGCCGCTGCAGCAACACGTAACGCATATATATACATACACGCACAAAATTCAATGTCGATCGATTTAGCGTATAACTAACAAGCTACGGCATGCAACAACGCACCTGTGTTCCACCGGTCCTCGTTGAGGAATAGCGTCGCGCCGTCAGGCCGGATGCGGAACGCGCCGAGCTCCTCGGAAGCGCCGTACGCCACTGACGAGCACCCTGGCCCGCCGTTCAGCCACAGCACCAGCGGCGCCGGCTGTGCCTCCGGCGGCACCTCCTGGAGCCAGTAGAACAGCGCTCGCCCGCCGGCGCCCTCGTCCACCGCAACATACCCCGAGTACATCGGGAAGTCCACGGCCGGCTGCCCTGGCAGCCGTCCGATGCGGTCTCCGGCGGCGGTTCCGGCCGATGCGGCGGCGGCTCGCCATGATGCCAATGCAAGCAACACGGGAACAAGAAGCACTACTGGAGCTACTAGAGGGAGACCGCCGGTCATCGTGCTCAGCTCGTGCACGTACAATTGTTGGATGATGATTACAGAGACAATGTATATATTCCAATTTGTGGGATAGTACTTGTATATATAAATTGGCGTACTTTGAGGTCTAAGCAGAGTTGATAAGATGTCACTGTTTCGTTTGGACCGCACGCTCTCCTGATGTTGTCTTCTTTTCATAATTTATTTCAGTTTATTTATTCCACCAATTTGACCACGACAAGAAGTACGTACAGGCAGAGAGATGGTGACGTCGTACGTCAAAGAAGGTACCGTATCGCCGAGGTAATCTATCCCGGCTCCAAAAGAAGAAAGCGAACTGTACCGTGCTTGCAAAGTTGGAATTTGATTAAAGCTTGCATTGCTACCCAGCTGATTTACTATTGTACATTCCTATAGGCGTGTGTTAATGTCAGGAGCCTGACGACGGGGCGATGCTGAAACTGAAGACAACAAGGCAAAGGGAGGGAAGACCAGGAGCAGACCACTTGGAGGCCGGAAGCAAGGTGGGTCCTGTGGGAGAAGAACAAGGTAAAGACTTAACATGGTAAACCGTTGAGTCTTTGTAGACTCAATTTCTCAGATGTATAATGCTCCACGTACAAAGGATTACAAAGCTACAGAACAGAGTTTACTGAGCATAGTAGTATTGATCTGTATGTGTCGGAAGTATTTACTATGGCAATACTGACCAACGCATCTGCGCACAGGAAATCCGAATGGATAGCACACGAGACATAGCGTTTATACTAGCTCAGGTACGTGGTACCCTATGTCTAGCTTGAAGTAGATCTCTTTGTTCGTATGCTCTACTAATAGTAGCTATGCCTAGTATGGACAGTGTAGAATTCTCATCGGGAGGTCCCTACCCTCCTTATATAGGCCGGAGGTAGGTTTACAAGAGATCTGATCGATTAATATATAGATGTGTTTCCTTGTTAATTACATGAAAAGCACAAGAGATCATTCTATCATATCCTATAAAGATCAGAATGCAGGTTGCCCATGCAAGGCGACTTGCTTGTCACATCTATTGGTGCGTCCGGTGTACATGGGCTTCATACTCAACGTCTTCAGCCCGTGTCGATAGTTCTGGGCCGGAATACAGGTGTTGTGGTATCCCGTTATCATATCTTCGACAGTATGGTAGACCTGAACTCTACTAATTGCTAACCTCTACTTTGGAATGAATTTCTTGTTTGGGTTTAAAGTAATTTGAATGCAAATGTAGGGGCTATTTTGGTTATCTTTAATAATGACAAATGTGTCAATCTAGTAGCAAGGTGCCGGCTTGGCCGGAGATGACCCAAGCGAGGCTGGCCACGTGCGCGCTACGAGGTGAAAGGCGGACCGCAAAGGCACGGCCACGTCAGCGGCGAGGAGGCGGTACTAGAGCTGCGACTAGCGCGCGCACGACGAAGAGGGGTTCTAGGTGGGGCTAGTGGTGCGGTCAATTCGACGTAAGATGATGAGGTTGGAGCTGGCCACGGTGAGGCTGGTTGGGCCTTAATGGCGCGGCGGCGGGAGCACAGCTCCAAAATTAGAGCTCGGCCTGGCCGTAATCAAGGCGGGGTGGGGGCGGTCGCCAAGAGGACGTAAAGGCGGAGACGCGGGCACGAGGAATTGATGAGAGGTGCTCGCTCTCTGGCTCACCGTGACCGCGACTCGATGGCGGCGGAAAGCAGAGGGAGAAAGAGTGAAATGGGGCGCGACAGGTGGGCTCAGTTCGTCCTCGCCTTGGCGGGATGCGAGCGGTTGTGGCCGAGGGACCTACGTCCAAGCACGAGGGGACGAGCGCGAGCATCCGCGACCGGCCATGGCCCGCACGCCGCAGCGCCATTAATAGCGTGACGACGGCGTGCATGGCCACGTGCGGACGGCACCCAATCAGGCCAGGGAGGGGGCAGCGCGATGCAGCGAGCAGACGCGAGTATGGGAGTGACACGACAGGAGCGACAGCGTCGCGACGCGAGCCAGCAGTGGGCGGACGCGACGGCAATGACAATGTGGCCGTGGCATCACCACTGGCGGCAGCACGAGGCTGGGCAGCAGGGCGCGGGGCTAGCGGCTCGCTGCTGCCGGCCTCGGCCAAGCCCAGGCGGCCCGACTGACCCAGCATGGCGGCGCAGGGTGACCGCGCGAGACGTGACCATGTGTGCGGCGTGGGGAGGCCGCGCGGTGACCGCGCACACGGCACCAACCAACCAGAGACAGGTGACGCGCATGAATTTTAAAGCTTCCAACACGACTAAACGGTTGCTCCAGGAGCCAAACCATCTTCACCATGCTCAAGATGGCATATGAGACTACCAAATCGAGCTATAACACTACACCACCCCTTAACCCAGTCTCTCAAAATAATTTGCTAAACATAGCAATGTCTAGCTGTTGACAGACTTGGAAATTTTCTAAGTTTTTGAGTTGGATTTGTTTTCAAGTTCCATTTCTAGACTATTAGAAATACTAGCTAGTAACATTATTTTTCTACAGCAAGTATTTCATTGTCATCTACAAAGTTTGTACTTCAAACTTTATTTAAGTGTCACATACATGTTCTATAGCATTTTTGTTCAATAAAAATTAGTTTACACCCCTACTTGTTAACTGTACGAATCGTGGAGCAACTTTTGTTTCGTATTTTTGTTGATCGTTTTAGTTGCAATGCATTATCTACTCACTTCACCACAAGCATTAACACACAAGTATGATGCTCATGAGATGTTTTAGTAAATGATTTAGGGTGTAACACCGAGGGTGTTACACAGACGCCCCCTTCCAGCATTTGGGCGAGCTGCTGAAGTGTCCACCCTAGTTGTCCGGAACCACCACGGCATCCTGCTGCTCCTTCACCGGCGGAGGCAAGGCAGTGTCGGTGGCGGCTGGCTCATAGATGCACTCCTCCAGGATGGGGACAGGCTCAAACAATTCGCCCCAGTTGTCGGCCACGACATGCTACGTCGCGCCAAACTGCTCAAGGTCGCCGATACGGAGCTTCCCGACGGCGCCCTGCTGCTCCACCGCGGCTTGGGTCCGTGAGAAGCGTCGTTCCATCTGAGCATCGAATTCATCGAACCTCCTGCGGATCTCATCGAAGGCAAGCTGGATTTCATTGAGGAGCTAGAAAGAAGGAGAGATCACGGAAGGGGAATTCATGGTGATAGGGTTCCGAGAATCGAAGGCTCTGATACTAATTGTTAGCAACCCGACTAGATTGCTCACAGATAACTGGATTTAAGCAAGTAGGATACAAGATCTCAGGGGAAGGGAGATCGGAGCAGTGAAGGAAGGAAGAACTAGTACAGAAAGGTAGACTTGGGAAGGAAGAAGAACAGTAAACTAAGGGAAAGGTATTCTGTTCTGATAAATTGTTTGATCCCTAAACTGCTGCAACTTGCTTCCTTTGTAGTGCTCATCCCCTGCCACCTTGGGCCTGTATGGGCTTGTCCCCTGCCGCCATGGGCCTATATGGGCTGTACACACTAGCCGACTGGACGATCCCTGACACAATGATATGCCAATTCTGAATTGGGACCAAAGGTTCCAGATCATCAAGGGGGTCGTGTTCGGGCTGCTCTATCTCCATGAAGAGTGGGAGAAAGTAATCCTCGACCGCGACATCAAGGCGAGCAATGTGCTGCTTGACAATGACATAGACTACCAGCTTGGTGACTTCGGCCTTGGAAGGTTGTATGACCATGGCACCGACCCACATACAACTCAAGTGGTTGGAACCATAGGGTACCTTGCTCTCGAGCTTGGCCACAGCAGCAAGACGACGCCTTTGTCGGACGTTTTCACCTTCGGCATGTTCATTCTTGAAGTCACCTATGGCCAGAGGCCCATCAGGCAGAGCTCCAGCGGTGACCAGCTCTTGTTGGTTCACTAGGTTGTTGAGCACTGGCACCAAGGATCACTGACTGACATAATGGATGCTAGGCTATATGGAAGCTACAACGTTGGTGAGGCATCCCTGGCTCTCAAGATAGGGTTGCTATGCTCTCACCCGCTTTCCAGCACGAGGCCTAGCATGAGGCAAGTCTCCAAGTACCTAAGTGGAGCCGTGCCTCTACCAGAGCTGGCGCCGACGCATCGGAGCTTTGAGTCCCTTGCGCTAATGCAGAACGAAGGGTATGACTTGTATGTCATGTCTTACCCTTCGTCGATGGCGACGATGATTACAATGTCTAGCCCTTGATGAGAGGTGATAACATGAGCTACATGCCTTCCGTTTCCATGTCCTTTTTGTTTCTTTAAAAACCATATATCCTTCAATGTAGATGCTGTCAATGTAGATATTGAATTCTATGACTAAGAATGTGTGGAATAAAAGATTAGTCTTCTGTTATAAGAGTAGTCTTCCTTCACTAGCTTTTCGGTGTGTGCAATCATAATGTCCAGGTGATTAAAGCAGTGGACCATGTTTCTTCTCTAGAAAAGGAGATCACAATTGAAGGGGACCGTGACGCCTAAGAGGGGGGGGTGAATTAGGCAACTTAAAACTCTAACTCAAAACTATGGTCTCTTTTACTAACCTTAGCAAAACCTATGCAAAAGATAAACTATTTAAATGTGCAACTATAGTTTTGCTAGTGTGTTGCTATCTCTACCACAAAAGGAGTAATTTAATCAATGTAAATGCGAAAGCTAAAGAGCAAGGTAGAGATATGCAAACTTCCATCGATGACTCCGGTATTTTTACCGAGGTATCGAGAAGCACGCAAGCTTCCCTCTAGTCCTCGTTGAAGCCCCTCGCAAGGAATCCCTCGCAAGGGCCAAGCTCCCGGTCGGGTAACTCCGTGGATAGCCTCGGGCCTTCCCCACGCGCAAGTGGGTCTCCGACGTGCCTTTTGGCAAGCCTCTCATGGATGCTTCCCGCCGTCTTCACTATCAAGCTTCCGGCCAAAACGCCGTGGGCCTTGTTCCCTCCGATACATTGTGGCGGCCACACCACAAACGCGGTTGGTGTGATCTCGCAAGACTACAAGACCCTCCAATGTACA